CGGATTTGCCGCGGCAAGTCTGTCTAGTGAAGCCATTTTTGGCTCTGGTGGGGAGCTCTGGGCCGGGGCCTCCTGCTCCTTCACAGAAAAGGACTACAAAGCCATTTTTGGCTCCGGTGCGGAGCTCTCGGGGGGTGCCCCCTGCTCTTTCGCAGAAGAGGACTACAAGGCCATTTCTGGCTCTGGTGGGGAGCTCTGGGGCGGGAGCTTTCCAGAAATTTGGGGGTCCTCTATTACGACGACTCGACCTTGTTCTACACTGCCGTTAATTATGTGACAGCCTTGAGTAAGTACAGCTGAGAGTTGTTTAGATCGTTTTCAGTTCAGAGGTCTTTTTTCTTCTCAGAGACCTCTTTGCAGTCTTTGTTGCTTGGACAAGCCATTACTTGCCTTTCTCTTCAAATTTAGACATTGAAATTTTGACAGAGCAGTATTTTGGCAGCATGGGATGACATGTGTGAAGCTGTTGAACTTGCAGGCCACAGGCGTACTTCCCAGCATGGGCCGACGAAGCTTCAGATCGCAAGTTAGGATATGAGGAGGGGGCACCGCCTCGCCTTTCTACAAGAGTATTTGTAAGCCACTGCCTTAAACATGCTCGAGTTCCAAAGCCTCGAAAGCTAACTTTTTTGTTGCAGTTTTCGACCCCGAACCACTAGGCGAAAACAGAGGCCCTCAGACAGTGTTGTTGCTGACGCTGCTGGTGCTGCTGCTGTTGTTGTTCTTTTTCTTGTCGTTGATGATTTTGTTCTTGTTTATGCTGTTGCTGTTGTTGGTGCTGCTGTTGTTGTCGTCGTTGTTGCTGCTTCTTAGCGGAAAATGTTTGATAGTAGCACAAAGTTGGAGAAGTATTACTCGTCAGAGCCGTAGCAGCGGCGGCCGAGCAAATGCAATGGTTTTCTCTTCACCGCACTGATTGTTGTAGAGAAGTGGTACAGTGAATTCGTACATGTCGTAGGTGCGGCAAAGCCACATCAAGGTGCTCAGTGATGCGGGGAAGCCAGGTCTTGGTCACGTGAACGAGCAGCCACATGAATACGTGATCAGTCGCTTAGAGGACAGCTTCAGACTTCCTGAGCAGCATGAATGCAGCACGGGCAGTGCCTTGCGACTGCAGGAGCGTGGGCTCATTCTAGATGCAAACTCCCACCTGAGGCAGTGCTTTTAGTGGAAGCGGTCTCCATTGCCGCATGGTGTGCTTGCAGGCTGCGGCAATATTGCCAGCTGCCCTGGTTCAGGGAGAACTTGTCGCTCCCCAAGCTTCTTGTTGACAGCTTTGGAAACCATGCGGCCCTGCTACGCGTGTAGTTCAAGAGTCTGTTCAGGCTGGTGTTCAGAAGACCTGCGGAGAAGAGCTCGGCTTCTCCAGCGTGATGCGTGAGATCAGCTCGTGCTTGATGAAAGCCAATCTTTTTTGCAATTTGAAGTGTTCGTGCGCTCACGATATCACACAGGCTCCTCTCGGGACAGGATTGTGCTTCTGTCCCTGCAGACATTGCTGCTCATGCAAGTGATTACCCATGTCAATCCATGGTAAGCAGGTCGCAGCTAAAGTTGACATTTTTTTCAATCTCCACCAAACTGGAGGTTGCACATGACAACAGAGCACAATGTGAAAGGGCCATGTCCACCGCATAGCCGAGACAGACAGGCGGGGTTTCCACAAAGCTTGGCAACCGCCAGAGGAAGCATGGTACTGCCTCGCTGCTGGGGCAGAATTTGTATAGCTTTCCCAATGCCTTCCATAAGAAGATCCAACATGCAAAGTTGGGAATTCCGATTTTTTCTTCGGAAGACGAGAGTGTATGGGCTGAAGGACTTGGCCACAGCACAGGTTTCACAAGTAGGCGCTTATCATGTGTAGTCAGTGTAGTGGGTGGGTTGGACCTCCAATGCACCGCAGTTCATTTGAGCAGCCTTTTTCCAGCCGACGTTGCTGTTCGGTTCTGCTGCGGCTGGCATATGCTGGCATGTTCGCCATAATTGAGCAGCAATCCGCCATGGAGCAACTTCACTAAATGCGTTGAAACGCCCTTGAGATCATTTTCTAATTAGCTTCAGGCGGGGTTTTGGAAAAACGGAATACCAAGGAGCAGTACAAAAATCTGAGTCAGAAGGGGGGAGTTCCCAAATTTGGTTTTGTAAAAATAAATGGGAACGTATACTGGGCAGGCCTTCTCTTGGGACCCAACCGCCAGCCCCAAAGCCCTTGTTCCTCACCCGGCAAAATCAAAGCCTAGCTCCAACATAAGGCCACGCCTGGCTCCAGAGGCAGCGCAGCTTTAGAGTGCTTCCTATGAGGGCTGATGGTTGGAGATGGAAATGCAATTGCAAGCGCGTTCTGCAGCCGGCCCACAGCAAAGTGAAAAGTCGTTGCCTAAAGGTGTCGGACATGTCTTCTCATTTCGGCGATATTGTCAGGCCCCCAGGCATCTCTGCACACGTCGTATCCGCTTATCCGCCAATGTAGTCAGCATATCTCAAAATGGGTTCTTCAGGCCAGGAAAAAGGAGGGTCTTGCAGATCCTGAACCGTCGATGCTGCCCTTCATGGGCATGCAGTCACGAATCTCACTTCTGAGCCCCCAAGCAGGTACGTGTCCTAAAGACATCAGCGTGTACACCAAATTTGTGCAATCCTGAAGTGATCGGTTGTCAAGCTTCGAGGCAGGCACATGTTTCAGACACGAGGTTTACACACCACTGCTATTTTTTTGGGCAAAGCTTGAACTTGCCAGTCTTCCCAACAAGGTTATGCAATCATGATAGTGGCTTCACAGGCAACTTGGCAGAATTCAGAGGCATGCCAGCCGAGCAGCTGAGATGCCATGTACCATTGCTCCGCTACCTTGGGGCCGACATGCCAACTCATTCCTGCCCACGTTGCCGTGACATCACTTACGACGTTTGGAACGGCTCCTGATTCCCTACTATAACCCCAATACATAACCTATTGTAATGTAGTGGATTCCATTGTCTTTCCTATTCATTAACCCTAAGCAGCCCTCTACTACCCCAAGCTTGAGGGTCTCTACCCAGGCCTCGCGCTGAGATGCAGGTCTGGGACTTAGCGCGGGCTTTATTGGAAAGAGATGCAGAGAAGCCCTGATCACACCACCTTTGTGGAGGCCGTGCTTTCAATTTGTACTGGGCAGATTTGGTGTCATGGTGCTTTCGATACAAGATCATGATTCACCCCTTGCGAGAAATCACCAGCATGCTTCCAGGCCTTCCCTTCCAGCAAAGGAAAGAAGTAGAGCTGGGCGGTGGGCCAGCAGCTTAGCTGTCACACAATGACTCACTGAAAGGGTTCCAGCACTGGCATTGCGTTTGGTCCCAGGCTGAGCTCACGGAAGAAGACACCGACATCCAGGTAGCATTTGGCCAGCGGAAAAGGGCAAAAGCTGTGGCCCTTGATATGGAGTAGCTAGCAGCGGAAGGCAGAGAATGGTGACGGCACCTCCGGAGTGCCAAAGGCCAGGCACGTGGAATCAGCTGTGTGTGCCGCTCTCCGCAGTAAAGCATTATTGAGACGCTGGGAGCTTCCCCACGAATCAGTTCTGCGCGGTGGCATTCATAAGAGCCGCGTGGCTCCTCTGAGAAGTTGTGCCTACCTCAGGCAGCGCCTGAGGACGCAGAAGGGGGAGCCTTGGCAAGTTCATTGGCCTCACACACCGCAGTCAGATGTCAGCTACTTGACATCTGTTCAAGCAATCTTCCTTGGGACCAGTCCCTAATTTCAACTGGGAGGCTTCAATGTTGGAGCGCGGAAATGTCTTGTGAGTAGTCCTGATTCTCCAGTCATACGCTGCAAGCGGAGCGCAATGCAGAAGGACGTGCCTCCGGGTACCCAGGGAGCAGGAGTGTAAGCAATTTGGGCAGACCCTGCGGAAATTGATACCAAGCAGTCTGCCATCTCCATCTCGACTTCCAAATAGGCTTTAAGGCCAACAATGATTTACGAACACAAAAGCAGTGTACGCACCTTAGACGCGAGTTCTCATGCTCAGCTTTCAGGAAGCACACGCACGTAGCTAGATTTTGTAGACCAGGGCCTGCCTTGTCCCAGCGGCTGCGGCAGCGGCTAGCTTCCACGATCGCAGAGCAGGAAGCCCAGGTAGAGGCGCGACAGCTGCAGAATAAAGAATCTTGTTTGCCTGTCAGCCTCAGGCAAATGCCTGAAAGCTCTAGTCTGATATGTTATGGACTTTGGTGCTGGTGCTGGCGGCGACTAGCAGCTCATTGGGTCGTACGGCAGGTGGATAAGATCATGTGTCGCAACACAGTCTCTGCAGCGGATCATTATGGCTGCCAGTTTCGCCGCATGCTGTCCAGCAGACAAGCATTGCCTGTTTGAGAGGAAAGTCATTGCAAAAATTGATTCGATTCGGATCTTGGAGATTTCAGCTTGCTCATTGCAGAACTGCACTGTGCAGGCCGTCCCCAGCGAGGATCAGAAACGGATTGCGCTCCCAGCCTGTCGCATTCGCTGCATTCTTCAAGTGAGTAACCCAGTAACCGTTGAGTTCTGAGAGGTTCTCACAATCCGGATGCTCACATGAACTCTCTCACACCTGCAATCACTGGGGGAAGTGCCGTGACTGGCTATGGCGGCTATGGGCTTTTGATGGCCTGTGGCCTATAGGCCCGTAGTCTGAGAAGATGCTACCAACGGCGCCCTGACAAAGTTGCCAGGTTCAGCAGGAAGTGGATTTGAACGGCATTGACCCCGCAGCGGAAAGCTTGGCAAAGGGGCCACGACATGTGTGCACAAACATATATATATATGTATCTATGTTTATTATGTGTGTAGAGTTTTGTATTCCACATGGTTTATAGCTCACGGGTAGATCAAATGAATCAAACATGATTTGAGTGTTTCAAATAAGAGCACCTATCACATCATGTTTTCCGTCAATGCCTAGCTAACGAGGCCTGTTTCTTTGGGGCAGCGCCTGTGGCCGCTTTGAGCTATGGGTTCTGGACCTTCACATCACGATCGGCCGTTTCCTAGCAGCAGCCAGTTTTCACAGTTCTTTCAGTGGCCTCCGCTGCTGTCGTTCCATCTAATCGAGCCAGCTGTTCCACACAAGGAGTGGTTCTACAACCACCCAGTGGTGCGCCCCGGGCAGAGTCTCTTTTGCGATTGTTCGAGAGAGACCTTCAGCTGGAGCATGACCTGGAGAGGAAAGCGACTTCTACCCCGTTCAGCGGCTGGGGCTGCTCGGCGAAGAGAGCCCCCAAATTTGCATGGGCTTTTTTGTATTGCTAGCAGTATCCCACAGCCAGCAGGTGACGGCAAGGTTTTCAGGGTTCACATGACAGCTTGGGAACAGGGACAGGCCCGGGTGAAGCTGCGAGGAAAAATGCACGTCGTTTCAGAGGCTCCTGAAAATTTGCTACTTCCAGTGCAGTCTTGTCAAGGGGCCACATGCGCATGCATCTTTGCAGCCAGCAGTAGCCCTCAATGGCAAAGCTTTAACCTTTAAACAAACTTGAATTGCCAGAGTTTCTTACCTAAGTAGTTATTTGCCGTGTTGCCACGTCGAGCGCGTCTTGTGCTCATGCAGCAAGCCAGGTTCGTCTTCCAAGCAGCAGTCGTCGGACCGGTCCTCATTCAAAGCGATTTGCCCATTGCAGCCGTGTAACGGAGATTCTTCCTTGGGAGGGTACATGAAGAATTAGATTGCGGAAGCATAATATCCTCCGTCAGCCAGTTCCTTCTCTAGAAGGGGGTCACACAGAGGATGTGCATCGGCCAAAGGCCTGAGCTCCTTAGCTGCCGGCATCTTCGGCTTCACGGCCTTAGGCATCTTGCTGCTCGGTCTCAGGCTCAGGTCACGAGTTCTTCTCACGCTCACGTTGCGCGGGATGTCATGTGGAACTCAATAGGCACAGTGCTTTGTTAGGTGAGGCTCGGCATTAATTAGTTGCGCGCATTCCGCGCATGGGGATTTTCTGCACTTTGATACGAGGTGTGCGGGTCAGCTTTGGCGTGCGGGGCTTAGAACAAGGAATGAGGGGAAGTATGGCAGCAGAAGAAGTAGAGAAGAAGTAGGCGGCCTCTGAGAGGAATAATGGTGGGAAGTTAAATCAGAAGGATTAATCACATCTTTTGGGACCCCGAGCTGTCATGGTTCACCAGTTTCTGCACTGTGCCAGCAAGTCGTGACGATTTAAATTTGAGGTGATGTCGGGTGAGCTGGACCCAAGCGACAAGAGCAAAGGCATAGGTGCGGATCTGCGATGGAGCGAGACACGCTGCAGTTGGGTGCTTTTCATGCAGGCAAACGGTCCACAGCAGAGACTGTGGGGGCCTTTCAGTACTAGGATACCGGTGCTTGGCGCTGACCACTCGGACAGCTTCGTTCAATGTGTGTGGCTGGCTTTACCGATCAATTGATGAACCCAGTCTGTGGCACTTTCGATACCTGGTGTAGTTAGGACATGGACTGCAGCAGGCCAGCTGTCGAGTGATTTGCTGGGTTTTGCCTAGAGATTGGAAATCCAAGTCACTTCCAAGCTTGTGACGTAGAGCGCTCTTCCTTTTTGACTTGATGCCTAAGTGCTGAGACTGAGGTCCTAGACGTGTTCACGAAGGACCCTGTGGAGGCCTAGGGGCTGGCAAAAGGGCATGCCCGTTCTTGTCTCGCATTGCCACTTCCGATGTCCATGTGAAGCTACGTGCCAGGTGGTGAAGGCGGAGAAAGAGCGTAAGCTGCAAGCAGAGCAACTGTGCTGCCTCTATTTTTTTTCAAGTGCAAGTCTTCGCTGGCGTTTTGATGCATGTTGATACTCAGCCAGTTTTGTTCAGTTTACATCAGTTGTCCGAACTCAACATAATTACCCAAGGCTGAGAAGGAAGGATGCTGCGGCCTAGTCCTTGCTCGCTATCGAAGCTGAGAAAAATAGACATGTATCTCAGACCCATCAAGTAGGCATAATGGAGTCCAGTCTTAGATAGTGCGGAAGCTGGCACTATTGCTTGGTAGACCTTGCTTTTGGTGGCATAGCATCCGTCCTTGCCAGGGATCAGCAGTTACTAGTCGGATGTTTGATTCGCGGTGGCCCAAAAGCTGCCGTGCTTAGCGTATACGGGATGACAGCCCAGGATTTGCTGCGTTTCTGGCGCAGCCTCGATTTTGGCTTAGCCTGGCACAATTCAACACCTCGCTGAGGCTGAACAAGAGTAAGAGTGTTCTTGAACCTACTTCTCCAGCTAGCCCAAACAACAGCAGGAGGACAGCAAAGCAACAAGTACAAGATGGAATTCGCTGATTTTCTAACGGCTTATTGGATGGTTCGTGCCTGGAACAGACGCCTAGCCTTCTTTCTATGACTAGCATGGTGGTACTGTGACCCTAAAGGAGCAAGCCTGCAGCACGCCACGCCCTGATATGTTAGCGTCGCAAGGCAGCCGCCATGGAGCCATGTGGCAAGCGTGTTGCCAGTGATCAATTGGCAAAGCTGCGCATTTCGCAGCGAGTGGAGCCTCGCTGTCACTGGCGCCACGTAGTGGGGGAGGGGACCTTTGGAAGCTTCCAAGAGAGAGATGCTAAGACAGATCTCAGACTATTCTGGTCCATTCCTGCTTTTCTTGCTGCATCCAAGCGATGCAGCCTGCGGGGCCAGGCAGCGCTTGACCAGGAGAGTCGAAAGTCGCGTAACAAGCTGTGGTGGGCATGCCTTGCTGCTTTGCCAGGCAGCTTTCAATACGGCTGGGGTTTGAGTGTGATAAATGTTCCCCAGGCCAGCATCTGCAGTTCTTTAGCATTGGCGGAGGGCTCCTTAGCTTGGTCTGTTCTTGTTGCGATTCTATCGCCTTCTGGCCTTATTGGGGCATGGCTGGGTCCTGCCATTGTAAGACGCCTGGGCTTGGTGAGAGCTCTTCGAAGCACAGCTGCCTTCTTCCTGGTCTCCGGGGCCCTGTTCCCTATGTCGGCGCAAGCTGCCAGCACAAACCTGCCTCTCGCCTATGTGTTGTTCGCTCTAGGAAGGGTCATTGCTGGCGTTGGTGCTGGAGCAGCCACCGTTTTCGTCCCCCTGTACTTGGGGCAGATTGCTCCACTTGAGCTCCGGGGCGCCATTGGGAACTTGCACCAGGCGGGTTGAAAAATCTAGGAATCTAAGCCCTTCTAGTAGATTCAGCTTGTGATCGTAGAGCTACTTGTAATGAAGGAGTTCTTGCAAAGCGAGCGGAGCATGGGATTGCAGAGTACTCAGGCTAGGGGAGAGGAAAGTGCATGAAAGATCTGTTCAAGATCCTCAAACGCGGGCCATACTCCTGTCTAACAACAGGCTCATCATGGCCCACAAAGGTCCTCCAGTTTTTGCTGACAGAAACCTGGATTGAGGTTTTGCAAGAATGCCGGCGGTTTCCGGTTCAATTTGGGTTTCAGTTCGATTTGGCTTGACATAGCGTAGACGTCGGCTTTTGGTGCCTTCCTAGCCCCTGGGAAGCAGTCCGAGACATGATAGAACATAAGACTCCATGCTGCATGAGACATTTCTGCAAAAGTGTGAGTACCTGGAGAACAACTGCGTAGGTGGCCATCGTTTTTGGACTTCTGATTGCGCAGTTGGCGGGTGCAGCGCTGCCCTGGTCCCAAGCATTGGCGCTGGCAGCAGCTTTTGGCGTCGCTCAGATCCTCGTCCGGTTGATGTCAATGGTGCTGCAAAATTCTGACTGCTCCATGTCGGCCGAAAAGCAGGGACCATGGAATTGTTTGGTAGGGAGGGGGGTTCTCAATTTGGAGAATTGTTTGTCCGGAAGCTTATTCTAACTTGACCCAAACCGTTGACCTTCCTCAAGCTTCTTTGGTAGCGGGATCGAGGCAAGCGGCAAGCCGTCCATCCTGCCCCCTTGAGTACCGACTGTCTTTTATGATGCCTTACCTCGGCTGATTTGCTAGGCTAGGGTTCCCCAAAATTTCCACCCGAAGCAGGTGGTAGGAGGGCAAGGAATACAAAGCTCGCGAACGAGTGCGAGTTCCGATAATCTCCCTATTGCTCGGCCGGAATCTCATGTCTCAATTGCTCAACTTGTCTTCTTGGTCCAAATTCGCTGCTGGCAGGATTGTTTTAATGCCACGGTTGCTGGATGTTGAAGAGCACACGCAGGACTGTGTTTCAACCTTCGCAACATTCGGGCCACGCCAAGTCTGGAATGAGCAGCTTTGTATAGCTTTGTTGGATATTGAGCTTTTCTTACATGGTCATTGCTACTCTAAAGTTAGAGTTAGAGGTTCCTTTTAGAGACTTGGTTCCAGACTGGCAGCGAGGAGCCCCAGGCCGAGACTGAGAAAAGCCGCGGCTTCCAGGCGCTACTCACAGACCCCCTGGTGCGAAGGCCGCTTTACATTGCAATTGCTCTTATGGCTCTCCAACAATACAGTGGCATCAACGGAATCTGGTACTACAGCACGGGCTTCTTTGCAAGCGCCGGCTTGTCCAATCCCCTAGCTGGCACGCTGCTGTCCTCAGTTGTGTTCATGGCGGCTACAATCCTAGCAGTGCCACTCATTGAGAAGGCCGGCAGGTTGAAACTTGACATGGGAAGAATTCTTGTAAGGTCAGATGTTGCATGATAACCGCCCCTTGGCCGCTCGGTCATGAGCCGAGAGGCCGGAAGGCGGTCGCTGCTTCTACGAGGTCAGGTGGGGGCCATCCTGTCCCTGGCCCTGTTGACGCTGGCGCTGTGCCTAAAGTCAGTCCTTTGGCTGCGCTGGAAACTCGGGATACTAGCAACCTTAGCAGAGCACCGCTGCTGACTGTACCTTGTAATTACCTCGTAGAAACAGGACCTGCTCTGGAGCATCAAACTGGACATAGTTGCATGATGGGAAGGCACTGGTTTGATATGCTGGGATACTTAGCTGGCCTAGTTGTTTTGGGAAAGGCGATCCTGCCCCCGAGCTTGAACGGTGTTTTGAACATGGTGGTGGTCTTGGCTGTGCTCGGCTTCGTGACGTCCTTTGCAGTGAGCCTCTCTGCTGAACTATCTACTGCATTTTGCGGGGGTGATGGCAAGGCACCAGGCATCCATGCCAGGGCATGGTGCCTCGGGCCATATCTGCTGGCTCCTTCGTTCCCCATGCATCCTGAAGCGCCTCAAGATTGCCTGCCTCTTCTTTGTGTGTAGTGCAGCCAAGGCTTGGGGCCAATCCCATGGCAGATTGCGAGCCTTGGCTTGCGTCAGGGACTGTTTCTGCTCGGTCCACAGGATCCAGGATGGTCTTGGTTCAGTACGGGCGGATCATTTCCCAAGGAGTGCATTTTGACATCCGAGGAATGAGATTTTCCCACTTCGCTGCCGTGCAGAGGTGGGGCTCATGTGTCGCAAAGCTTCTTACCGTAACCAATTCTGAAAGAAAATCCGCCAGGCACAATGTCTCATCGCATCGTCTCTAGGCTTGACTTGAACCTCTGCATTCAGATTCAAAAGAAGCGCTACGGCCACATTATGCGACGCATGCCACGAGCCACGAGCCCAGGTTGTGTGAAATCTTTAGCGCCAGCGTGGCGCTGGGTTTTCCAGCAGCTCGCTTGCAAAACTCCTGCAAGGCAGATCCGAATTTAGATTTGCCGTCCTTGATACAAGGTCTTACAGCACCGTCTAGGTTCCAGCCTTGCGTTCGCACCAAGCATCCTGGCCACTGGGCAGCAAATGATGGATCCAGCCTGCTAGGTACGACCAAAGCAGATTGGCATGGTTTGACACGGTGCAGGTTCTCCTTGCCGGAGTCCTGGTCATCAGGAAGAATCTGCCGGCCTCAGCCTCGTACTCTCAGCATTGACAGGCCCATAAGCACTTCATGGAACGTGGCCGAGGAGACCAAGAATCGGAGGGTGGAGGACATTCTGGCAGAGTTCAATCGTCCATCGGAGAAGTTGATCGATTAACTTCTGCGCGAGAAAAGTGTGCCGGACATGTCGTGCAGAGTCGCCGCAGAACACAGTAATGCTTTAGAAGCCAAGCTTTAAGTTGAAGAGCCCAAGGTGTCGGATCTCGTTTACACATGTCCCCGAAACTTTAGCCCCGTCCGAGCACAAACAAAGGATAACAAAGGCTAACAAAGGCTTCCACCTCCAACGCTCTGGCAATCTGCAGCCATTCAGCACCCAACGGCATCCAGCAACGTCCCCTCCGCGTGGGCTGCTGGGTCGAGTGAGGGGCCCAAGCTAAATGAATGACTCTTCATCACAACCGGCTGGTTGCAACGCTTGCACAAGGTACACTTGCAAAGAAGTAGTTTTGGCGTTTGGGGGTCATTCTCAGTGTGCTTCGCAGTTGCAGTCGCTTTCAACCGCTTCGAAGCAAGGATCCTTGTTGGGGCTGTTGAGCACGTGGGCCTCAACTGGCTGCAGCGTCGCTAGGGGTCTTTCATTCCTTCATTGAAACGCCAAGGCCATGCGAACGCGGACGGGGAGCGGAGAGTTCAACATGAAGTCCGCAGGCCCTCCTAGAACGCACTCCTGTGAGTTGGTTGCTTGCAGGGAACACTTTTGATCAGCAATCAGAATCCAAAATCAGCAGCCTTCATGAGCCGATGCGATTCCTTGTCTGAAAAGTCTTGAAACGCTGCATACGTCAGCATGCTCATGAGGCGCATCAGCTGCTGAAAGCTTTTGCGGCACGCATACAGTAAAGGGGATAAGATGGGCTTTCTTGAGGATCAAAGACCGAAGCGGCGTTGAAGGAGGCCAGGCTTTGGCAGCTGCTTGGGCCCAGGGCTGTACGCACAACCGACGTTTGAGTTTGGAGTGTATGCTTTGGCATGCTTTGGCCTCAAGTTGGGTTTGCCGGAGCCCCCAACGGATGCGCGGCTACTTGTAAGAACTGCTAGATGGAGCACGGAGTGCACAAGTTCTTCACCGGCGTCGAGGAGTCCTTGAGCAAGATCACGAGGCCATGTAGTCAGACTCGTCAAGGCTGCAGCTACTGACTCGTGAGTCGCCTTCCCCAGGGAACCCTGCCCGGCGCAGTCTTAAGAGGCAGTCGCACGGTTACTTTCCGATTGAAGCATCCGCTAGGCCCAGCTGGTTTGGCGGCAGCGGACTCGCGCTCAGAGATGAACTTACAGAGGTAGGTTTCCGAAAGGTTTGGGATTGTACCCGCTGGCCTATTGTGCAAAGCGTCTTGTGAATCACACAGTAGGAATGTTCAGATCCCAGTTGCCGAGCCACAGTGAGTTGCACTGTTGCTCCAAGGTGGCCACGCCAAGCAAGCTGCTGTGCCTCCCGTGGTGCACGCCAAGCAGGCCTGGGACTCAGCATTTGTCGCTACCTCCGGAGATATCTCACAATCAGCCCACAATGGCAAGCTTTCTTGGAGTGCTGCATTGCGCGCCTAGCTTGCCCATTGCATCTACAACGCCCATGTGCCTCAGTTTGATAGGTGTGACCTGTTGAAGCCAGGATATACGAAGGTACACAACGCACGGCGGGCACTGAATAACATAATATGTTGTCTCCCTATATTTGTGTCGAGATGTGCAGCTCTTTGTCAGGCTCCTTGGGCTATATCATGAAAGCTCCCCGTGTGAGAGCTTCGTTTAGTACCTCACGGAGAGAGCCTGGGATCACGGGGGAGGGGATCCGGAAAGGCCTTTTCGGGCCAGATCCTTGCAGGTAATGCTGGCAGCTCGTCCACTGTATCACGAGTTTGCCTACCTCCGGGATGCTTTGCCAAGTTTGCGTGCTTGATGGGCCATCCACTTAAAGATGCTGGGGGGTTTCTTGGTTGGTCTTGAGCTCCTCATGGGCAGAGGACTTGCCGCCGGCAAGCGCGCAAAAAAACATAGCTTGCCAGTACTGCTTGCAACGTCCTTTGGTCTCCAGACCTGAGTCCCCAGCCCTGTCCGCTGTCGAGCTTTCGTCCCAGCCCGTGACTCAAGTTTGTATCGAGATGTGCAGCTCTTTGTCAGGCCCCTTGTTGCTGGCAATGTCGTGTCCCATGTCAGATGCAAACGTGGGTAAGCTCTATTGTGCAGTTCTTTTTTGAAGGCCCAGCCTACACCCGTTCCAAATGGTGCGGATGACGCCACCATGCGGCCCGGGTCTTGTTTTGGTTATGTAGCTTTCAATGCAGCTTACAGCTTGTCATGAGTAATTATCATGAAGTCGGAGAGCTCAAAGCGTAATCTCAGAACTCTCCGCAGATCATAGAAAAGCACGTGTGGCACTGGCAGCTCGGCCGAGGCACCACTGTGCTGCTTTGGAGCGCCTGGTGGAAATGGGCTTGTCGCCACAGGCAGTCGTACCTCCTTTAGAACATCAAGGGTCAGAATTAATGGTTGGTGCTGTGGTGCTCCCTGCTCAAGGCAGCGAAGGTTGCGGTGCGGCATTTGGACAGCTGGCTGGTCAGCGAGGCAGCTTGAGAAAAAGGCAGAAGGCTGCTCCAGGTCCAGCAGGCCTAGGTGTTGCATCCCATGTACCACAAGTACCACAAGTAGCAGCAGCTTCAAACTTCAGTATACTTCAGTGGCGAGTGCCCGCTGGGAGCCAGGATGGCCGTTCCGAGATGGCAGTTGCAGAAGCTGAAGCCACCAATGGGGGTCACGGGCCAAGACTTTGGCATTTTTCCATAGCAGTCTCAACCATGTCGAGCTCTACGTCATGTTTGGGAGTAACGGGATGGGATGGTACTTTGGAAGCAGCTGTAATCTCGTTTCTCTGGAAGTGAGAATCGGTGAAGCTTGCACGGTATCTGCGCAACGCGTCTGAGGAGAGCCTATCCTGCATGCGCGGGCCTTGGGTAAGACGGAAGAGTGAGGGAGAAGAAACGAACTGCCAACCTACGATGCCATCAAGCGGCGAGAGAGCCCAGCCGAGTCCGATCATGCCGGCATGCAGAGTATTGGTGTTTGCATCATGTCTACTGAGTTTGCCGATTATGCTGCAGGAGCCACTTCACACCAGGGAAAACACGCAGTAAGTCGAACAGCATTCAATGCCCGACAACCCAGTGGATTCAATCATCAACCTGAGGTTCATGATCAGGTTCGTTTGGAGGGCCTGATCAAAAACAAAGGCGCAGCAGCAGGAGAGTTCTGTGAGCAGCGGCCGCGCGTTAGCTACAACACGCCTCATAGCACTGGCCAGGCACCAACGGCATGTGCGCTACTCAGACAATTTCTCTTTCAAAGTGGCAAGAATAAAGGAAGTTCCGCGGGTTTGGGCAGGCCCCTCCAGCATCAGACGGGAACCAGTAGTGCTGCGCTTCCCGTGTTTGCTTACGAGCAGAGCTAGACGCTACTAGTACCTATGAGCCCGTCATGTGTGTCCAAAGGGAGGAGGAAGATCATGTCAGTCATGTCAGGATGGGCACCTTGGAAGCCTATGGAGCTGACAGCCATCGCTGGAAAGTCCGCTTGGTCGATGATCAGGCAGGATTCTAGCGCGCAAATACTTCAGTTAAAGATTTGTAGGGTATCTGTGCCAGAGCAGAGCGGGAAACCACCGTCAGGTCTTTTGGATCAAACCGAAATTGCTTCGGCCCTTGAAAATGCAGCGTCTGTCTGCCATGTCTTGCTATAAAACTTGGGGATCTGAGCGATGTCCGGCAAATTCAAATACATCTGGCTACACAGGAGCAGCCCGCAAAAATGGGGTTTGCAACATGCCTTGGCGGCCCCGTGACACGTTCCAACGCGCAGGTAGGGGTGTACTATTTGCTGTCAGGGAAGGTAGCTGGCAGCAGAAGAAGAATCATCATGCAGGTGAATGGTCATCATGATGCTTGCTTAATGTCCTGCCAGGCATGCCTTTGCCAGATCCGTCGCCGCCGGAGCACACTCCGGACGAGGACGGGCAGGCAGGGACCAGCGAGGTCATGCTAACGTTCTTGAAGAGGTACTTGTTTCTGGAGAGTCCCGATTGGCTGCAAGTGGCACATGAGCTTCGAGGAACATCGATTTTTACAGGAGTTCCAGCAGGGCAGGGTAAGGATGTGCAGGTGCAAAACGTCGTCAGAACTTCACGTGAACATGAAAAGCACTCCTCGCAAAAATGTAGGCACTGTTTCATCCTACCCGAGCCATTGATGCTATGATAAAGGCCTAGGACCTCTGGGACTGAAGATGGCGAAGCAGGTACTAGTAAGTGCTTTACTGAGCCAGTGCTTGTCCAGTAGGCATGTTGTCAGCGCTGTTTCTGAAACGATCCTGTCTCAAGTATGAAGCCCATCACGCAGCATTTGGCTTGTGCGTGACCATTCGCTGCAACGTGATGTCAGAAACATCACATCTGAGTCTCAGCAAATGCACGAGCACTTCGCAAATCCTAGATGCTTGGAGAAGCGCTGCCTACGTCCTAAGTTCCCTGAGAGGTTAGCCTTAAGCCTTGGACCTGAGATTTGCCCAACCCAGTTTCAAAATCAAAGCGCCAAGGGTCAAGCGGCCCAGTGGCAAAGAAGCTTGTGCAAGCATGGCTTGGCCCCGCCCTCCGGGAACTTTAGCTGCAGCCGCGTCTCAAGGATTTCCTGCACGATCCCGGGCGGCACTTGCAGGATCGTGATTTAGACGGGGCTGCTCTGCTTTAAGCTTGTAGGCTGCACATGTCTCACAACTTCTCGTTCTCATTGCCTTAACGAATGCTGCAAGCCAGTCTTATGATTACAGATTGTATGGCATAAGGGTGAGATTCAAAGCTTTTTTGTTTAAAAAAATGATTTGGGGTCTTCTTGGTTTATGATTTTTTTATGATTATTTTCTGCCTGTATGAGTGACAGATTTCGTGGTCAGATTCCTGTTCCTGGAGGAGCTTGGGTTCCATTCCAAGTTGTTGTCTTTCTGGCGACACAGTCCCACTCAAAACCAAAGTCAGACAGTATTGGCTTGCAAAAGGGTTCCGTGCATCCTGTGTGGCCAGTCAAAGCTAAGAGAGCTGCATCACTGGATGCGCCTTTGGTGTTGAAGTTAGGTTTGGGGGTTGCGCTAAGAGTTTTCTGAGAGGTAGGGGTTTTGCTTTTGGGCTGTGGCGGGGGTTTGGGGTGTGTTTGGGGTGTGTAGACGTTCTGGACGTTCTCTGGAGGGTTTGGGTCGGGGCCCTGAGTGGAAGGGGTCTGGGGGGGGGTCGTCCTTGAGCCCCATCGAAAAATCACAAATTTTCGTAATTGGTCATAAGCTTTTCAGAGAATTTCAAGCTTTTCCTATGTTTCTCGCCACCGAGTGTTTTATAGTTTGTTTTAGAGTTTCGGAGAGTCCGGAAACGGGCCCCCACTTCTCTCTCAAAGCCCCACCCTCTCCCCACAGCCATCCCAGCGGCCCCAAATCCCCACTCCCGACCCCTGCACCCCTAAACGCCTAGATCCCCAAACCCCAAGACCCGTCATTGCCGTGCCTGCACTGCTGTGCGATGTGCGTGTCTAAACCCCAAGACCCCACACCCCCGGCCCCCACCAACCAACCTACAGCAGAACCCCAGATCACCCAGAACACCCCCGCACTTCAGCCCCGCCATAGCCACCCCAACCCACTGCACGGCATTTTTGAAAACCTTTTCCGATCCTGGGGATATGGGGCATTGAGGGCCGAGGCGCTTGGAAAGCAGCTTTGCAACTCCCAGGATTCATCACACAAGGCTCTGAGTTGAAAGCAAGTGCTCAAGATCTGAGCTAACCTTTTTCACACAGCCATAAAACTATCATAAAAGAATCGCCAAATAATCATGAGCACAAAAGGTGAAGAAAGCCAGTTGCTGGCACCAGCAATTCCCTCAACCCATAAAACATCGTTGTCTGATTGCTCTCCAGAACTAAAAATTGCGTATTGCGCAGTGATGTGATATAAATACAAAGAATGTCTCCTTGGAAATCCTGTAGTCGGGAATCTGCGGTCATAAAGCTCGTTCAACCCAGAATGTGCAAAGCAGGCCCATTGATGTACGAAGATCCGAGCGCAGCACTTGAGATTCTAAGAAGAAGCTGAACGGGGTGAGGTCTTAGGAGGCAGAGCTGCAACTGAGGGCTTCAGCTGGACGGCCAGAGTTACGAGATCCGCTATGGGCCTGGTCAAGACTTCGAGTCTCAGCAGGACTTCTTTGCACCCTGCAGGGCAGCTCTCAGAGAGCCGCGACTGGGCTGGGTTAATCCAGCTTTTCAACTCAAGAACTGAGAGGGTCAAGAAGTCTTGGCTTCCCTTGAGGTGTGAGGCAATGCTCCAGGTGCTGGAGACGCTTGGCTGCTTGGAATCGCTCCCTTTGGACCCTCGCGGGACTTTGCTGGTGGCCTTGCCCTTCTGCGGGAGCATGTGCTTTGTCAGCAGCACAGTAGCTATGATCGATAGCTTCCGGATCTGTGTCTGCATGTTATCTGAAAGCGTTACTGAGCTCCAAGCCAACTTCTGCAAATTAGATAGCATCGAAATCAGTATCGCAACATTGTTCCCTTTTGCTTACCAGGGCATACGGTCCTATTACTTGGATGACTATATTGCAGAAATCATTAGAAATTGCATTTGAGGCAGGAACTGCCTCTTCTCGCACACTTCCTGTCGACTCGCTGCTTAGGAGAGGCGCCCGTCCAACATGCTAAGGGTCTAACGGCCTGATGCAGAGGCTTCAGGCGCTCTTGGGGTGCAGGAAGCGTCTACTCACGGGCCATAATGATGACCGTGCATAGATCTCTTGGACGCTGCGCTACCATTGCTCCTATTCCCTTACGCTTTGCTTACATGCTTGTCTTTGACTGGGCCGCACAGGACATCGAGGCGTGGCCAACATTTCCATATTGGCATCAGACGTCCAGGACTGGGCAGAGCTCGGGGGCTACTGGAGGCAGAAGGAGAAGTACGTAAGACGATGGTACAGTGGCATGGAGCTGAGATTCTGCCAGCTGGATTTACAATCCATTCGGCACCCACCATCGTCCCTAACCTTTGCTTTCCATCCAGAGTGCACGGTACACAGAGACGTGTGGCGTCGCATCCTGCACAATGTCATCTCTGCAACAACCGGCTTGTGTGTGGTTGCAACCTTCAATGAAGAGGAGATGAAGGCAAGTGGGCTTTTCCTAGCATGCAGTGAGAGCTGACAGGCAGACTAGGAGGACGGCCCCTTGCTACGTCCCAGCTTTATTCCAGCTGGGGTTGAATTGCTTTTTGTGTAAACGCTGCATGCTCCATTTCAGCCGACAGCCGCAATTTCAGCATGGACAATCCTTACATCAACGGTTCCGCGCATCTCCATTAGTCATGCGGCTCGGGTTCGCTGTTGACCCCCAGTGTAAGACTCAAGAGTCGAGTAGGTGGCTACATGTGGCCATATGAGTCCATGAAAGGCTGCTGCATTGTGAAGTTCCAGTTCCGAATTTATCAAACGGCCCTACATCCCCCGTGTAGGCCTATGAACGTACAACACCGAAGGTGCATGCACATAGCCTTGCCATCCTGCCCTGAACAGCAAGTTCCCAACGAACATCGTTCCCCTGAGTTCGTTGTCGGTGTTGGTCAAGAGTTGGGCCGACAAGTTCTTTGCCAACGGAATCCATACTATGCAGACTCTACAAACAGGGGCGGTAGCTTGGCAAACACTTAAGTTGTTTGATTATTTTTTGATAGGCAGTTAGGGGCCGGCGGTTGTTGCCTCTGCCCAGGAGCCACGCCACCCTTCCTGAACCATTTAGTCTTCGTGCGGTGACCAGCAAAAAGTGTTTGTAGCACAGAGCCCTGCCCATGCTGGTGTTGAGGCCCAAGTTGGCCTTCCAGGAGAAAACTGCGTACTTCCAATGCAAAATCAGGTAGCAGTCGGAAGTCCAAAGACTGGCATAGCAGCCACATAGGCCATAGGTCGCAGTCTTCTAGCAGCGATTATAGAGGAACTACCGCAAGGCACCAGACCCTCAGAGGTGTCATGAAAAGCCTTCTAAGGCCGTTTGGCTCTTGTGTGTGAAAGCCTACGAGTTGCGAGCAGCTTGAGTTTCAGCACCCAACAGGAACAAGTAGCCCATGACATGAGAGCCGGGCTTGGGTAGAGTTCAAGAACTTTCCCGCCCAAGCAACTTACCAATTCTGTAACTTGACAGGGCTAGACAAACATCACTCAGCCCTCTACATGGATTGGCGGACAGACGTTTCCAATGGTTCCTTGCCATGCAAAGCGGCGCCGCAGCTTGGCTGCCTGTGGAGAAAAGCGGATCGACGTTACGGGCAAATGATGATCTGAATTGCTCTAAAACCGTGGCTCTTTTGTATAGGACGACTTCGCAGCACAGGGTTCCAGGAGTGTTTACTTTCGCGCCAAAGACGTGCGGCTGGGTTGCTTCTGAACGAGAATACCATAATCCCAGATCAGAGTCTTGTTGCGCGAAAGGTCCTCAAAAGGCGCGGCAGTTGATGAGTTATCGGGAAAAGGAATTAGAACAGCCCCATATGGCTACCGCTTAATGTGATTGGTCCGGAACAAGGGGAAACGCACATTCCGATCCAGACCCCGATCCCAGAGATCCGGAACAAGTCTCCGAATTCATTCCAGACCAACGAGTGCAATATCTTAAAATTGACGTTGCGCTGGGTGTCCATTCCATGCCCGTTCCATACCTGTTCCAGACCGAACAAAGTTAAACAAGGTATTAGCCCATACTCACCCCGCAACACTTGCGGGAACCAACAAGAGACATTCATCGTTCGAGGCCCTCCGGATCAAGTGTGCGATCCAGACCCTCCTGGTCAGACAGCATAGGAACGTGCACGTGGGGCATGTGGCTGTGATCAGTAGCCATATTACATGTATACAAATGTCCAAAATTGGGTATGTATGCCTGTATATATATATATCACGATGCATGTATTCATGAAGGTATGTAGAGAGAGCTGTAGGGGGATTCAAGGGTACAGGCCACCTTTCCTGGAGCTGAAATTTCGAAAAGAAATGCCTACCATGTTCTGCCGTACTCAATCCCTGAGGAGGAGAATCCATTTTTAGGGTCAGGCTGATACTCAGCACTCGCATCAGCGCGTACATTGCTCATCACAGAAGCCAAGGGCCGAACATCCGGCCGCCTGGCTGTGCTCGGATTGGTCGCGTCGCTGTGGCATCTCAGCTTGTCAAGAATTTCACGTCTCTCCACTCCGCATGCTGCAGTGATGAAATAAAGCCAGCGACGGTAGATGATCCTAGGGCACAATGGTCGAGGGGATTGCACTGGTTCTTCTGTCGAGGTGCCAACAGCTGCGGTCAACTTTCGGCAGGGAGGCCGGCTGCGGATTTACTTGCTTTGTCCCATCGCATGATTAGAGACTATGCGCACCTGGAGAAGGTGGAGGACACCTGCTCTGCCAACAATCCGAGGCAAGCGATCGCTGATTGGTCACAATCGTTGCCTCACACTGGACCAGCCATCTGAAGACCTTGACGTTGCGATCAGCCTGCTACTCCAACTTCGGATCACATATCTGTGCACATAGATAAGCCACTCAGACTAGATTTGTGTGCCCAGCCGTGCTGATTGAGACAGGCACGGTGAGTGGAATCCAAGATCATTTCTCTGTGTTGACACAGCCCCAACAAAGCAGAATGTAGCAAAACTTGTGGGCCTACCTTACATGCAGGCACGCGTCCATCGCGCAGAAACTTCGAACTTCCCAGCCGTCTGACTGGTGTCTCCCTGGAGGTGCGGAGAGGTATGTCCTGGTCGCATCCTGGTCGTCGGTGCTGGGCTCGCTGGTCTTGTTGCCGCGCAGACATTGCAACGGGCGGGCTGCTGCTTGGCCTGCTTTCGCTAACGAGAGGAAGTGAAGAGCCTCTTTATTCCCCTATCCTGGGCTCAATCTAGGTTCATCCTCACGCCTCCTCAGAAGCCTCATTTACTCGCCACCCTCGCCGAGTCCGTGATGGGAAAGCAGGTTTCAGCATGTGTTGGGTTTTAGTGGTTTTAGTGGGCCCCATACCACAGGGCAGCAGCACGCTGTCACACATCCAAGAGCATATGGCTGCAGCATGCTGTAGCTTTGGTACTTTGTCATATGCTGGTGCAGTGTGGCCAAGGTGAGGTGCTGGTGTTGGAAGCCAATGGACATGTTGGTGGAAGAGCTGCTTCTATCCAGAAGGGGCCATTCGAAGGCTTCGATGCAGGCCCCAGAGAAGTATGCGCGCTTGAAAGTAGCTGCCAGCCAGAGATCTGACGTGGATAAAAAACTGATCTCAAATGTGGAGGGAGTGAAATTTAGCTAGTCTTCCGGATTGAACTTGCTCTTGCCTGCAGAAAGCCTAGTCTGACTGGGTAGTTTTAGGATTCTGGGCCACCCACTGTCGTTGAGCAGATTGCGAGGTGCACAATGGGTCCATGGCGGGGCAGCTTGCTTGCAGACAAGATCCAGATGAGGGTCTCGATAATTTAGGGCTCCCTTCTCTGCAGGGGTCGCTGAATATATACATATATATGTATATATATATATGTGTGTGTGTTTGTATCATGCAACAATTAGACGGGCTGCGTATGAGGGTGACCCGATTGTTTGGAATTCCCAGATGCGGCAAGTTCTCTTGAACACAGCTGCCCTTGAAACGAATAAGGAGGAAAATCTTCCCATCATGGCGCTGGTGCGCTTCTACAATCTCGTGCTGGAGCAAATCGGTGGTGACACTGATTTCGAAGGTCATCACCTGAGCATGTTTGTGTCCAAGACTATCATATCAGACCTTTCACAAACCTTTGTGTGTTGGGATTGGGATTTACTTTGGTCGTTAACGAGGGGACGTCGTCGTAAAAGAAAGAGAGGCGCAAAACCTACAAGTGAGAATGCCCATTGCAGCTAGCATCCCCAGGCCGCTACGACCAGCATCGTCTACTGCATGCCGGGAAAGTTAATGACTCCCTGAAGGCGGAGGCTCCCGAGAAATCTGAGCTGGAGCTGTCCAGGCTGATCATTCCTACGCTAATCGTGTGCAAAGCTGGAGGCCTTCAGGCGATATGCTAAAGCCAAAGAGCTTTTCGAACGGAAAGTGCCACGGGTCCTGTCCAAGAATGGGACTGACCTGTCACTCAGCACCTTGTCAGATGCCGTTGCACATGGCCTGCCTGTTGATGGACTTCACAGTCTTCTCCCAGACAATGCTTTGGTATTTCCTAGCCACCCGAGGATCATCGTGGGATTTGATTTTGAACTACGCTCCGGCCACTTGGTTGTGTCCCAGGTTCTACTCACCTCATACAGCGCAGGCCCGCCACTCCGCAACAAACCTTTGATAGCCAACAGCCTCCAATTCCTATGCGAAGTCAGTGAAAAACTCGACCATAAGCAATTGAAGCTCCATGAAGGTTGACCCACCTGCCAAACCCTCACAAGCCTCGCCTTTTTTTCGCCAATTTCAAAGGATCCGCTGCTTGAGTGGCAGCTGCGTGTCCGGAGCGAGCAGAACTGGGGCACTAGCGCGCAGCAGGCGTCACCTTCCTTTCGGATGTGATGTGCTGCCATGGGGCTTTCAATTTGACAAGCTACGGAAAGACCAATAGGCATCATGAGCTAGCCAGCCCCAGGAGACGTCAATTGTTGTGTCACATCGCTGTGCAAGCAGAATTGGGTCTGGCCAACTTGACTTGACAGAAGCAGAGATTCACAAGCCTTGTGGAAGGTGGGAACCACGCTGGCGGAGATAGCGACCTACAGTCACTCATTTGGATGTGTTATACTATAGATCATGTTAGCTTACTAAGCCGGTGTTTTGCAAGGACAGGTCGGGGATTGAGCATTGGAGCTCACGTGAGAAAGTGTTGTTTGCGGGTACTCGGGAGGCATTTGCAAGAACCTCCCCCAGATTTGAAGCACGCTCAGATGCTTCGCCCAGAATTTCTTGACTGATCTGTGTCTTGCTTGTGGCCGAGGCGTGTTCTACTCAGATGTTCCATGGTCGCAGCTATCTCCTGGTTGCTTTGTGCGAAGGGCCTTCTAGCTGTTCCACCACCAGCTGCAAGCGACATGCAAGGATGAAACCATTCTGGACTCGGTGCCCGTTTGGCCGGAGGCTGGGCATACTTGTTACTGTATAGAATTTGTCGGGATTGCCGCACCTAACTTCCACTTAGCTGGAAGGACAGGAAAGGTGATGCGAAGCTGCCGCTGGGCTTCTCAATTGACAGTTCAGGGTGAACAGTGCCAGATTCAGCACTTTGCATGGTGATATTGGGTGCCACCGCTTTTGATTGATGCACCATGCCTCGTTGTTCTGAGGGTGGGAGGCTTCAGCCGCGGAGCTGCACCAACATGTCTGAGCGAAGTCTTATAAGCGGGAGCCGACGTCAGGCTTTTGTTCTTGAACAATGTTGGCATGCAAGGCACGCTGGTGCGCGAATTGACAAAGGGCCTGAACGTGCGTCTCAATGCTGCGGTCAGCTCCATCTCACTGGAGGATGCCGTGGCTGTGCATACAGTCTCTGGCGCCACATATCAAGGCTTGGGCCCTATCACTGGTTTGTAATTAGGCTGTATTGTGATGCCTCATCGGAATTTGTAGGGGCAATTGAAGCCGTTAAAGGATTGGATGGGGAAACTGCTCCTGTGAGGACTAGATGGTTCTTGGGCTACCGGCTATTATGGTGATACGCAATTCACAGTTGCCTTGTCGCCCATTATAGTCCTGTCACTGAATCAAAAACCTGCGGATGGGGAACCCAACGGCAGCCGAGAGCCAAAGTGGCTGGCTCAGGGGCCACGACTTGAGGTGAGGAGAGTCTTCGTCAGCGTTGAACACTAATTAGCCAGCATGCCAAGAGGCGCTGCTGTCATCGTGACAGTGCCCCTGGGCGTTTTGCAGCAGAAGCTGCGCTTCCAACCACCGCTACCCAAAGATTGGTACGCCTCTCTGCCGCACAAGTTGCATGTCTCTGCAGCACTTGGCAACGTGGAAATGGCAGCCTCAGGCTTCTTTGCAGCGTGTCTTCGCAGCATATGGACAGAAGGCAATCGAATGCCGTGTAAGCTGATCCGGATTCACACGGCAGATGTTAAGCGACAAGGGTCTACGGTCTACTGTTGCTAAGGTCTTCAGATGGGGGACGTGGCCAAACTCTTCATCAAGTTCAAGGGAGGACTCTCCCCAATCAGTGACTTGACCTTTACATACTGGAGTAAACACGCCTTTTCTTGATTTTCTGGAGATGGTAGCCCGTGTGGCTAAGTTGAGGTCTCTCGCATTCAGTCATGGGATCACACTATTTTCAATCTTGGTGTGGTGGGCCATTCCCCATTTCAGTCGCCCTGATCTTGCCACATATTGCAACCCTAGCGTTCTCACCTAGATTAGGAAATCTTAAAGCTGCCTGCCTACCTGCCTGCCTGCCTGCCGGATGTGCAGGCAGTGATACCTACTTGCTCTCACAAGTTGTATCGCACACATCCCGCAACCTGCTGTACTACTGCATTCGTGACCTGGCTGGCAGTGACGATGGAATAGGCTTGCCCGATTGTTTGTGAGCAGTGCCGCTTGAAGGAACAAGGGGACATGAAAATGCGCACATGCACTTACCATCAGCACGCTGGTTGAATCCGTGGCGGTGCTCATGCATGAAGATCACTTGCAAGGTGAGGTTTCTGCATCGATGATGTCTCCATCAGTGTGCCTTGTCAGCTATTGCTTGGCTTCACAGCTCCACGCGCACGATATTCCGAGCTGCGGCACGTGGCTGTTTTAATATGATTTGAACTACATGAGCTGTCTTGCAGGACTTTGACTTGCCTACTGTCTGGTCCATCCTTCGAAGAGGCGCGTTTCGACCGCGGCTTCTTACACACATGCTCGCGCTCTGCCCACACACTGCCACACTATCAGATATGCAAACGCAGAGACGGCGGGCTGCGGTATCAACACCGTGCAATCCAAAAAAGTACTGGCATGTGCTGACCAGCTGCTTTACCCTGCAAGGCAATGCAGCTGAAGCAGACTGGCAAAGAGGCCTTGCTAAATCGCGTTGTGGCAGAGCTGTCGCAGATGCGTCCCGACGCAGTTGAGCGAGTTTGAATGCCGACATCTCCACAGATGATGCTTGCGGCGTTGTGTGGTTGCAGCAGAGGTATCCGCAGATGCAGCCGTCAGCTGTATCCGCAGTCCAGATGAGATCGTTTTCGTGGAACCCCTTTGCGGCTCAGCCGAAAAAATGTAGCAAATGGAATGCAACAAGAAGTTGCAAGCCTCACCAGGTGCTGGGATCCTGGACCTCTGGCAAGGCAAGGTGTAGAGACTTGTTTGTTCGCCAGGGTGGTAAATGTATTGGGATCTGGGCCGTGATGGTCTGCAGGTAGGCTCCAGCAGCCAAGATTTCAGCATTTTCGAGCCGCGTCCACGCTCCTTACCTGAAAAATAGGGGCAGCCTTAATCGGGGTGTAAGGATTTAATGGAGCTCATCCTGCAGAATTGCGGCTCTTGAGAAGTTTTCGGTTTTATGCAAAGCTTAAAGCAGAGTGTCTGCAAGGGAGGATAGACTCCGGGTTGGCTAGTCTCGCATGAAGTCGTGGCCAAGACCTTGAATGGAGCCCTCAGCTCGCACGGAAGGCTGGTGAGAGGGGCCTAAATCTGATTCGCTGTTGCCAGGCTTGGCATTTGCGGGCGAGCACACCTGTCGCTTGATGTACGGTACTGTTCAGGCTTGGTTGGGCTGAGAGCCGCGCTTCTGCAGTGATGACACTTCTTGATGTCGAATTGCACTACAGGCAATGTAGGAGCTGAATGCTGTTCCGTGCCACTTTTTTAGTGGCCGCAAGCGCAAATGCCAGGCCGCAGCAGTTTCAGGAGCGCGATCTGCACACGAGGCCATCGCAGCCACAAGCATGCTTCGGCTCGGTCATCGTAGGCACAGGAGTCAAGCAACCATGTCCTACTGTGGTGAGCTGCTTTCAACCTGAGTTGTCTACACGTTTCCAGAACTAATTCACAAATGAAAACCATGCACGTCGCATGATGCAGGTACTGGCAGCCGGAGTGGGAAAGTTAGCCCCAAACAGCTGGCCTTTCTTCAGGAAGGATCTGAAGCTCGCTGGAATTCCTCAGAGGTAGGCTGCAGCTGCAAGTGCATGATGGCAGACTTTCTCGCCGGAAGAATAAGGTACACGCTCTGTGTTGCTCGGCTGAATTGCTGCAGGTCATACGCAAACTAACTAGCAGGTAGGTGCCATGAGTCAAAAGGCTCAGAAGGATTTTGACAAAGGTCTGCCAGGCACATGGCCTCTACATGCCTCTACTCTGTGGACTCATAGAAGTTCACTTGGCTTAGGCTCACTCTTGCAACTGCTCGTGATTCTGAGGATGAGCTGGCTCCAGGCGCAAATGATGCTTGGCTGCAAGCCATCATCACCCTGGCCCTGAGCTTTTGATCTATTTCTGAAGAAATCAAAGGATCACTTTGCCACCTTGGGCTTTCTTCGCGCGATGTCTTAAGAGCTGCTTCAGGAGCATTGCGGACTCTCTTGCCAAGATCAATGGCGTGCGGACTTGGTGGCGAGCCTGTTTCAGAGCTGGCGAGGCCTGGTACAAAGTGTGGATTTGGAGTTGTGAAGTCCAAAGCAGAATCTATCCCCTAAAGCCTGACATTGAATGGTGGCAGGCATGACGAAGAAGGCACGCCGCTGTTGGAGCAGGTTGGGATGGAGGCCCCTTTCCTGGGCTGGCCAAGCCAGGACCACGAAGCCCAGCCATGTCGACAGTGCTGTGCCAGTGATCGGAGCGAGACTGAGTCCCCTTCAGATATAAGGAGAAGGAACGAGACGGGCAATTTTGCACATTGGGCCACTAACTGGGAGCGTTACTCACTGATGTCACAAGCCTGACAAAACCCATGAACAGCAGGAAGCCAACCACGAGCAACAAGGACTGGAAGGAGCTCAGCTTTGCAGCCACCCGTAGGCAAATGAATTGGATGCTAGCCCGCGTATTACAGTGGAGTGCGCTGCATGTGTAGTGGACTGCTCAGGCCTCGCAAGAGTGCTTAGGCCCAGCAAGGTAAATTTGACTAGCCTCGAGTCTCGAATATTTTTTCGTTGCAGTTGCCAGGCAGACTGTGTTGCTTTGCACCGCAGCGCCAAGGCACGAGCGGCAGCCACTTGCTTGGGGTTCACGACGCAGTCCTGGGAAGCATCTGGGCTGCCGTGCATGAAGAAGAAGCCGTCCGTCTAGTCAGCATTAATCCTGGTGTACGGGTGCGCGAGGAAAAACTTTGGGGGGGGCAACTTAGGAGGCAGCGAAGGAGCAGACCGACATCATGTTGTGCAGACTTGGATCTGCACATTTTCAACTTTGGGAGTGTTTGACAGAGAGCCAGCGGCAGGACTGGCAGCTCGTTGCATGTTAGATGCATGAAAGAGTGATGGTGCTGGCTTGTTGCTACCGTGCCAAGTTGCGGCAGACACATTGATTGGATGTGAGGCAACAGCTTGGCCTCAACCGCGCCATGCTGACACCTGCCTGCGCTTCAGGCGGTGACCCCCACCCCATGCGTAACAACAGTTTAACCTGCACAAATGTTGCTCAGCAAAGCTGCGCAAGTTCGGTGAACTAGACCCCGTTTATCCGGAAAGCAATCAGTTCCACGTTAGCAAGGGACACTTATCTGGCAGTGTTCTAGGTGCCGCGGTCGCATTGCGGTGTAGTTGTTGTGGTGTACGTGCGCGGTAGGTGGTGTGGTGTATATGTGGCGCGGTGTAAGTGCTGTGCTGTACGTGGGGGTGTAGGCGCCGTGGTGTGCTGGTGCGGTGTAGTTGCTGTGGCGTATGTAGGTGCCGCGCTGCATGTGGGCAGCGTGTCGCACTGGTGTGGTATGATGCGGTGTAGTTGCTGCGGTGTAGTTGCTGCGGTGTATGTGGGCGGTGTCGGTGTTGTGGCGGGCGGTGTAGGCGCCGTGGTGTACTGGTGTGGTGTAGTTGCTGTGGTGTATGTGCGCGGTGTGGGTGCTGTGCTGTATGTGGGCAGCCTAGTCGCCGCGGTGTACTGGTGCGATGTAGGTGCCGTGGTGTATGTGGGCGGTGTAGGTGGTGTGAGCGGTGGTCGTTGATTCCAAAGAGAATTCTGAGGGCGCGCCACGCGCCAGCGTCGCCACCCGCCCAAAAACCACGAGAGGGTCGTCGACTACGAACAGAAGTCGCAAGACGCTCCACGCGCCAGCGCCGCCACCCGCCCAAAACCACAAGAGGGTCGCCGATTCCGAAAAGAATTCTGAGGACGCTCCACGCGCCAGCGGCGCCGCACGCCGAAAACCACGAGAGGGTCGTTGATCACGAGCAGAATTCTGAGCACGCCCTACGCGCCCGCGCCGCCACCCGCCGAAAACCACGAGAGGGTCGTCGATTACCAATTCTGAGGACGCTCCACGCGCCAGCGCCGCTGCCCGCTGAAAACCGCGAGAGGGTGGTCGATCAATAGCAGAATTGCCAAAAACCACGAGAGGGTCATCGATCACGAGCAGAATCACGAGGACGCTCCACGCGCCAGCGCCGCCACCCGCCAAAAACCACGAGAAAGTCGTCGATTACGATAAGAGTTCTGAGGACGCTACGCACGCCAGCGCCGCCGCCCGCCGAAAACCACGAGAAAGTCGTTGATCACGAACAGAATTCTGAGCACGCGCCAGCGCCACCGCCCGCCGAAAACCACGAGAGGGTTGTCGATCACGAACAGAATTCTGAGAACGCTCCACGCGCCAGCGCCACCGCCGGCCGAAAACACGCTCGCGAGGCGGCCGTGAGCAGCGGGAAGAATTTGCAGAACGCTCCACGCGACGGCGCTGCGACCCGCGAAAAACAAAGAGAAGGTGGGCGATTCCAAGACGAATTCTTAGCAAGACGCTTCACGCGCCAGCGCGGGCACCCGCCGAAAACAGCGAGACGCTTCGCAATCCACGTGGAAAATTCGCACGGCGCCAAAACGAGATCTCTTCGCCGCACACGAAACCTTCAGAGGGTTGGCCGGACGACGTTGAAATTCGCACGGCGCCGCACCGAGAGCGATCCGACACGCACGAAACTCGCAGAGAGCTCGCCGCGCGTAGATGCCCCGGCTTTAGAAATAAGAGAAAATAGAAGGCGTTGGTGAGCGGTATAGGATGTTTGCGAGCGGTGTAAGTGCTGTGTAGACTGAGGCGTGGTGTATGTCAGCAGTGTAGGTGCTGTGGTGTAGGCATAGACTGTGGCGCGGTGTATGTCAGCGGTGTAGATATTGTGGTGTCTGCAAGCGCTGTAAGTGCTGCGTAGACTGTGGCGTGGTGTATGTGAGCTGTGTAGGTGCCGTGGTGTGTGCAAGGCTACCGTTTTTTGACCAGGAAACCTTCGCGATGCTTTCGGGAAAAAACTTAAGCATCAAAGCTTGCATCATTCCGAGAGCGTTTGCCTTACGCACATCCTACTCAGATGGCAAAAGCGAGATCACAACTACTCCGGTGCGACGGCTTCAGCTGCTAGCCAACAAACAAATCCGCTGCTAAGCCCTCATTTTACACCTTGAATTGTTGTGCTGCCAGATTGGCATCGTGGAAACATGCGTGTAGGGCACACCTAAACGTGCATATCGGTGAGAATGCCGTGAGAAAGTGCCACCTGAATTGGGGTACTCCAATATTGCAACAAGGTAACCTGAAGCGACACCTCCCATGTGTTGACCACTGGCCAGCAGCAAGTTAAGCCCATTGATTCTTGCCTGGCTGAAGTTATATTAGTGAGGAATGGGGAGCTCGCAAGTGCAGTGGTCTCTTGCCTGCAAAGCTTCGCCTTTTACCTCGCAGAAGCGGCATAATTACGGCTGCGAAGTGCGTAGTCCACATGTCATGTTCGCAAAGGATGCCCCAAGCTCCCATGCTACAGTCAAGCTGTGCCTTAATGGATGGGAACAGATCTTGTCCCAAAGGCAAAGACGACCTGGAGGCAGTTGACCCCTCTGCAGCAGAAAGCAGCCATACGCATCGGCTACCGCCGGTGGATGTGGTGAGCTGTGGTGAGTCTGAGTCGGGATGGGTTGACCTGACGCGCATCCGGCAAAAAAGCTGGCCAAGGTGTTGCACTGGATCCGGAAGAAAGCTACTGTAGGTGGAGAATCAACCCAAGAACTGGGCAGGTTTGCTCGGCAACGCTGGCCCATGCCTGGGCAAAGTTCGAGGCAAAGCAGCAGGCTTGGAGGGAGGAGTCAGCCCGGCGCTGATTTTCACGCAGGGAAGGCGCAAGAAGTTCATAGGCCCAGAAGAAGCTAGATGCCAGGCAAGAGGATCGCGAGATTCGCTTGCTCGAGAAGGAGGAGGAGAACAGGGCGCTGGGAGCATGCTTTCTGATTGTTGACAATATGAAATGGCAAACGCAGACATGAAGCCTAACCCTTGTTTGTTGTAGCTCACCTAACTCTTGAGGGAAGACGTCCGCAGCCACGTTGCTCAGCATGAAGCGGCCAAAGTGCCATGAGGTCGCGGAAGTCGCGAAGTCCGAATCGATCAAAGCTGGGAAAATCAAGTAGCCTTCCGAACGTGACGAAGGCATATGTGGCGCCTTTGCAGCTGTGTTCTGTGGACCTCCATGCACGTAGTTTCTCCATCAAGGACATCAAGAAGGGTGCGGCCTCCCGGCAAATGCTACTGCTGGCTTGACCACTTTGTCTTTACATGAGTAAGGGCAGACCTTGTGGCTGAAATATTTGTACACAGACAGCAGACACGGCTCTGGATTCCAATGGCTTTCTCAAGCTGAGGTCGCTGGCAGAGGGAGCCAGAGGCTGCCCTTCATGGCCTTCGAGCGAGGTGTGGAGTGGGAGCGACCGGGAGCCAAAGCAACGCTACCTCCCCCCAAGCTGCCCTCACTGAATCGAATTGTGTCCTCCATCAAGAGCATGAATTTCTCAGACCAAAGCCTGTCGGTAATGAGCAGCGGGAGTCTGCGCTCGAATCCGGCATTCGGTGGCTCTGGGCCTTACCGAGGAGGCCCACGGCTGCCTGTGAAGCATAGCAAGAGAAGGTTGCAGAATCTGTTGAAGCCTCTTCCAAGACGCGGCAAGTCCCCGCGGCCAAACTCCTCGAAGACGAGGAAGCGGGCTGGATGGGCAGGCTTAGAAACCCACGAGTTCCGAGTAGACACTTCAGACCTTCTCGACGACGAGCCCGAGGTGCCAAAGGAGACCGAGAGTTCACATGAAACAAGCTCCAGGTCCAGCGACTCTGACTCCTCATCTCTGACATCAGACTCTTCAAGCGCCTCTTGGTTCATCGATGAAGCAATGCCACGAAAGCTAGCTCTCTTGGAGCTTGCGGTAGCTCTCGTTTACAGGTTCTCTAAGTCGGTGAGAATGTAATCCCGGGTCAATCTTTCAGGGGTCTAATCGTAAAAAGTTTGTGAAGAAACGCCACTGCCCTCACAAAAGAAACCTTGTTCACAATTTTTTTTAAAGGGGAGGTCTCCTCACCCTCATCCCGCCCCTGTAGGCCTTGACCAAGGCTTGCATTTGCATGTCCTTCCAAAGCTGTTGCTCAACCACTGCTGCCTCTACAGTAGCTTTCGAGGCCCTCTTCTCAAGTACAGAAGAGTCCAAGTATTGCAGAGAAATTCAGGATTCCTCGAGCGATCTTGGTGATGACAGCGATGACGAAGAAGCTCGGCGGCTGTCTCTGAATAAGCGGGGGTCAGGACTCACTCGTCGGATGTCGGCATTCGTGGCTTGGAAGCAAAATGAAGCAAGCCCGAGATGATCACACTCCTGCCTGTCGTCATCATTGATGGCCGGCTCTTGTGACTACGAAGATGACCTTGATCAACATCAAAAGTGTTGCCAGCATGCACAGCACTATACCGCTCTCTTTTGGCAACACCAACACAACAGGAGATTTCTGCAGAGCAGAACTTTTGGTAATTGCATGACGGGCGCATGTTAACCATATGCGGGAGGTGGCAGTCGCAGGTCGAAGGGGCGCGGGAAGCTGCACCGGTTTGGGGAACCCAGATCCGTTGGACTACAGCAAGTGAAAACTTGGTAGGTAGTCCGTGACAGACACCTGCCGGCCTGAAATCAAAGTGAATAACAACAATGAGGGCATAATGGACGAACACGAATGCAAACAGCGCCAATACTAGTTTACGAGTCAAGAGAAGCAATTACTAGAACTGCCCATGCAAGTACCAGCGGTCATAATTCTTGGCATGCCGGCAAGCCCAGGCAATGATGCTTCCCTTGCTTGACTCGAACAATCAGCCTGTTCGCCGATCTTCAGTGGCAGAGGTTTGGGACACGTTGTCGAACGATCCAGACCTGTTTTATCGTGGCACGTACAGTTCTGGTTGGTATAGAACGAGCAAGGTCGAAGTTATGGTTTATGCTGTCATTCTCAGGGTTCGGAGATTTTGAGCAGCCTCCTTTGGGGGGCCCCGGTCCCACAAGGGGCTTGGGAAGGCACGCTTCAAGCTGGCAGGTCGACAAATATCTGTGGGCAGCCAAACTGAGTGGACCCCCATAAGGCTGCTTCGATGTTGTCCCCCAATATAACCTTAAAACCCATTAGCAACATTAGAATTAAGAGTAACATTACTATTATGAATAATACTGCTACTATGCATGTTTGAATATTATTGTTAACAGTATGTTTAATATTGGTATTAGTATTTGCATTATTCCTAGCTTTCCGGCCAGGCCTTTCTCCAAAACTTGGAAACCGATGCAGACGAGGACAATGCTGAAGAACTGGACTTTCCTTGGAGTGATGAAGAGTGCCGCAACTTGATCCACAACCCAAGTATTACAGTAGATTGCAGTACATTACAGTATAGTCTAGTATGGTAGAGTATACTATATTATATAAAAGTACAGTTCATTACAGCGCATGATAGTAGTAGATTAGTATAATATAACGGTGCAGCCGTTCAAGTCGTCTGTAAATGTAGAAGGACCTAGTTCTGACCAAAAGGTACTATGCTCTATGTGATATAAAGTGGAGTTCAGAAAACAAGCCCGCTTGACAAGCTCAGGCAGCGTCTTTATCAAGTTTGACACAGACACAGCAACTCGGCTGAGAACACGCGAGAATCTCGCGCGTGCTTGCGGCCGTCTGCCGCGTCCCTGGCAAGATATTGTTACATCAGCAGATCATCAGCAGACTTCGTGGGAGAGAGCGCATGTTGGCTGGTGCCTGACAAGCCCCAACAGCATTCGTCGTGAGATGTTTCAGCCGATGTTCAGCAACCTTGACATCGAACCCCTGTAGCCGCATGTTTAGATTTCCCGTGCTTTTGTACTCGTAGTGGTCATGAGCCCTGGGAGTTGATAGTGCTTGAGGTGCAGTGTTTACAAGCGGGGTACTAGGTTTCTTATGTTTGGGATGCCTTTGCTCGCTGCTGGTGCTGCCCTTTGGTATGAACGCAGACTCAGCCCACCGTCTTGAATTTGAGGGGGTACCGACTGCTGCGTTCAGGGGCTCTGCGCTGGAATTGTTTTCTTACACCCCTGCCTCGCTCAAACAGGTTGAAGTTAGAGTTTGGCAATCGGGTGTGCAATGCTTTGGTGACGGGGATGCGCCATCTTCACGGTATCAACCCAAATCACGTGCAGCCACCTTGGAAACTAGGAGGCTTGAGGAGTCTACCTGGCCCCGAGGATGGAGAGGTGGCCACGGAAGAGTTGGAACTGATGCTGAAATACATGGGCTGCATCTTGGAAACAGCTTCAGCAGGTGCGTTTTGATGTCTGTGGGAAGTTCTAGACAGAATCCCGATTAGCCCCAATGCTTTCGTTGTCATATTGAAGCATACTTCAGCAGTGTAACAGGCCAGAAGAAATGGGAAAACGATACATCTGCTTTCTTGTTTGGTGCAAGACAGAGCGAGTGGGAGAGAGGGTGAAAGCCAATGCACATTTAGGAAAAGTTGGAGCCGAGGGTGCCTAGCATGGGCTCTACGACAAATGTGGTGAAACCTCAACATTTCACTCAATCTTACAATCTTAAAAACGCCAGGCTGTAGCTGTTAAGGATGAAAGCAAAAAAGGTATCCTCAGACCAGGGGAGATTGAGAAGCTCGTGAAAGATATGTTCAGCTACGCCACGGTCAGTTGGGAGGACGGAAGACAGTGCCACTGATCGCCATGCATGTCACAGCATGTCATCCTATGGGACCAGGAGTGGATGCAATTTTTGGAAAGATATCGAGAGGCCGGACCCCGTATACATGCCGCATGAAAGGTTGGGAGAGGCCAGGCAGCTTGTTTAAGCACGAGGTGGACGTGGAGTACTTGAGGGCAGAATTTGGGGCCGCGGATTCGGACGGGAACGGCGTCCTAGACATCTCCGAACTGCGAGCACTTCTTAACAAGTTGGGCTACATCACGGAGGCAACCTGCCGATTGTTTTGCCAGCACGTCGGTCTCTAACAAGAGTGAAGGTACAGCTTTGTTTGAGTGACAAGTTAGTCGTCCGGCTGGCATCGAAGCTTGAGGCACACACCGTGCAAGAGGCTATGGACACGATTGGCTGCGGGGCCTCCGGGACCGTGCTTGGTCTGAAGAGAGGCGGAGGCATACCGGGAAATGCTCAGAGGTAACAAGCAACATCGAGGACCAAGGTTATGTGTTGCAGCTATCAGCATGAAACCATTTTGGAGCTTCAGACTGCGAGCGTAAAGCGCCGCCCAGCAGCACCAGCACCAGCACCAGCACCAGCACCAGCACCAGCACCAGCACCCGCACCCGCACCCGCACCCGCACCAGCACCAGCACCAGCACCAGCACCACCAGGACCAGGACCAGCACCACTAGCACCACTACGAAGACTACTGCTATTACTAATTACTGTTTACTCAAAAGATGACCAGGGGCCGGGGGTGAGGGGGCAACACCTAAACCCTGAACCGCTTGAGGTAACATTAGTGTAAAGTAATTGAATTGTGTTGCATCTTCATACTGCTACGAACGAACGCCGACAACAAAGAAGCGAGGCTAGGCGAAAACCCTAAAGTGTTTAGGAGCTTAATGGCAGTTGGCATATTATGGGTATGCATAGTTTAGGGTGTAGGGTTCAGAGTTCACAGGAAGATCTCCATTGAAGGGCTGCAGGGTTGTAGCGTAAGGTCGTACCCCTAAAAGGTTTCCGTCCCTGATATAGCCCTTATATAACCAATGTAGTTCCCTAGGGTCCCCCTAAGTGATCCCAAAAACCAGAGGTACAACCCTAGGGGTGCAAGCCTGTAACCCTTGATTCATGGAAGTTGCCATATTATGGGTATGTAGCGTTTAGGCAGTAAGATTTATATTACCCTAGTGTGGGTAAATAGCAGATAGAAGGGTTTGCTTCTAAATCATGAAGCCCGAGCTCAAATCTCAAATAATCTCCAGCTCCAATATTAGGCAAACATTGCCATTTTCTTCAGCTATTACGCATTGGGAATATTGAATGTGATGGAGGTGGAGGGGCTTCCAAACTAGGGGAAGGGGTGGCTGATAAATATACACCCCAAATTCCTAATGGCAGCCTAAGCTTTTAGTGAGCCCATGAACCCTAAACAATTTGCATGAGCCCTGGATTAAATTTGTAATATACCCCTTAATAGGTCCCCCCCAAAACCCTATATAGTCCCTATAGGTCCCCCCAACCTAAATTTAGTCCGTAGCTTACAGCTTACATCCCCAAAGCCCAAACCCCGAGTAAGATGTCTGATGAAACTGTTGCTGCCTTGGCTTCCAGAGGGTTTGAAGCGCGGCGCCTTGGGGTGGGGCTTGCGCTTGATTCGGTCTAGGCTTGGGGGTTTGGGGGCTTCAGGAGTTTTAATGTAGAGGTTCGGGGGGTTTGCGAGAAAAACGGAATTGCACAAGTTTTGCAAGCAAGCGTTGCCAAACAGTATTGCTCCACAGCCTGGCACAGATTTCCACAGCCTAGACCGAGGAAAACTGTACAAGCATCTAGATTCCCGAATGGGATGGCTAAGGTCTTAGGTGGAAGTAGAATAATAGGTTTAGGGTTTAGGGTTTAGGGAAAGACCATGCAACAAAGGCAATGCCCAGCAAGGCCCAACAGCAAGGTCTCGTCGTAATAGCTCGAAATGCCAGGTGTTGAACAATAAAAGCTTCTGAAAGTAAATGGGAGATTGTTGGCATCCGTACCCTCTTCCACAATCAAGGCAACCGTAACCTTCGATGCTCTACTTCAATGCGTTTGGAAGGCAGGAAAAGCTCCAACCACGTACTTTCCCCACATGATGGGACCTCCAGAAAGTGTGCCAAACCCTAAACCCTGGGAACTCTTTTTGGGCCTGCATGAACCTACCACTGCGGTTTAGGGTTTAGGGTCCCTAGAACCTAAACCTTCATTTGACAATTTGAAATCGCTGAACCCTACCATCCGACAGTTGCCCGAAACTCTAAACCCTAAATGAGCTATAGTCTGAACTCCTAATATCCCTCTTAATAACCCCTATAGTGCTCCCCTATACTATCCCCTGAACATCCCCCTTTACGGAGTCAGACTATAGCTCGGATTGCTTTCAAGCAAAGCAGAGCAACATCTCGCGGATGACAAGCAGGGCAAGCTCCCGCTGCCGCATGAGGAACCTGTAGCTTACCCAAACAGATTTTAGCGAAACCCTAAACCCTAAACCCTAACCCCAAACAGGGTTTAGCGTTTAGGGTCGTAGTTTGGGGTTACATAAAGGTTTTGCACTTAGAGTTTGGGGTGACAGGGCTTGAAGCGCAGGTCATAAAGTCTACGGGAATTCCTACTGGGAAGGTCTAGCTTGCAAACCCTCGTACTCATAGTTTAGCCCCAGTGGTTTCGGACATTGTTACTTTCTGACCCATGCTGAACTATCGCAGTAGGGACTGGTCAGAGCTAGAGCTGGCCGAATCCAAGAAGCAGATTGACAGTGGTACAGCCGGCATTTGAGCATCTGAGCTAGAGTTTGAACTCCTTTAGGGGTGAATATACGGGAACATATAGGGGAATATACTAGGGCTTATTAAGGGGGATGCTGGGAGTTTAGACTGTAGCTCATATGATACTTACAACAGCAAGAACTGGAAGTTACCGATCTGAATCGAGTCGGTTTGGGGTTAAGGGTCTTCGGTTTCTAGTCCCCCTTAAGTAGATAGAATATGGTGTATATGGGGATCTTATCGTAATATACCCAAAGCCATATTCTATCTACATAAGGGGGACTATAATCTTTGTGCCTGGACAAGCGATCCAACTTCATGCCTTGTTCACCCTAAACCCTAAACCCTAAAAAGGCCTGAACCCTGAACCCTAGACCATCGAAGGTCCGAGCTTTGCACCCCCGAGTCTGAAGGCTAGACACCCATTTAAAAGAAAATTTCAGATTTAGGGTTTAGGATTTAAGGTTTTGAAGGGACCAACCAGGTAGGTACACTTATGTAATGCTTCTAGAAGGCTACCCTGGGGGTATGTCAGGGCTATCTAAGGCCTATATCGGGGAAACTACGCACTTGAAACTTTCATAGGCCCATCCCCGAAACTCCCGAAACCGTCAACGAGAACCTTGTGGCTATTCGTGTCATTTGGGGCTTGGGGGTTTACAAGTCCCTAAACCCTAAACCCTAAACAGGAAACCCTAAACCCGAAACCGCGTCAGTCTTTTGCTAAGCTTCACTGCTCAAGTTGTTGCGGGGCCAATGATCTCCCGGAAGCTGGCCAAAAAGACTCTACGAAACATAAACGCTAATCAGTTACAAGCATCATTAGTATCATGATGGTTATCACAAGTACTATTACAAGTCTTAGCACTACTGTGGTTACTACTACTAGTAGTATTGCTCTTTCGGCTTCAAGTGATACAGTCCCTGGCCCTCTGCAATGAACTGGTCGGGTCAGCTTGCCTAGTTTCAATGTCGCATGCTGGAGACGGCCCGGCGAAAGTATGCAGCGACATGCCAGTGATGCAGTGCCTTAAACATGTGAAGATTTATCAAAATAGCGGTACACTTAAGCAAAGGACCCCACAGCTAAAGGAGGATTGTAAAAGGAGCATCGGGGTGATACCTTGGATAGTACACCAGACCTCAAACTTTGAGCCTTCAGGCCTTACAACCGGATCTTCAACATTCTCAGTCCTCTGCCCTGAAAAAAGGGTACTAAGGTTTAGGGGTTCTAGGGTCTAGGGCTCACGGCTTAAAAAAGTTTAGGAATTAAACGTTTAGGAAATAGGACAGACTCTCAGAAGCACCTTCAAATTGAATCAAGAAGGTCTGCCTGAAGGCCCCTGAGCATCTCGCCCCTCAGCCCCACCCAGCACCAAGAGATACTCACCCTAACATACCATACCAGGTACCATATTTGGGGCGTATCATTAGGGGGTGTGGGGGGGGGGGGGGCTGTTGCCCCCTAAAGCCTAAACCCTAAACGGAAGGTGACGACCTGATTGAAACGACCCGCGAATTCAAGGCCAAGGGCTGTCCACACTGCAGCAGTGATAGTGGCGTGGATAGCACCGCGCCTCCTACGGGGCAGTTTGCATTTTTGGAACACTCCATGCGCATATGGAGGCTTCCCAAACTTAGGGATTCCTTTTAATGGTCCGCATAATAAGGATCATCGGATTTTGAGAGGTTTGTTGGGGTCTCCCGACGTGCCGAAAATACCAAAATTGCTTGCTTACAATGTAGCTTTGGGGCCTGTCAGCATGAAGCACCATGAGTGTACCGGTTACCAAAATAACCTCCAAACGAAACCCGGCAACTGGGGTCCAGCATCCGGGCTCCTCATCCTCATCCTTCTTACTATACGCACCAACCTTCACGCTGTAGATCTTCGAAGGACCAACATCCAAGTATGTGTTGTATGCTAAGCCCTAAACCGAAACCCTAAACATGAAAACCCTAAAGACTGAAACCCTGAACCCTAGACACTAAAACCCTGAACCCTGAACACGAAACCCCTAAACTCTAAACACTGAAATCCTGAACCCTACGCACTAGACCGACTAAAGCCCTAAAGCCTGAACAACAAAACCCTAAAGCCTAAACCCTTACATCCTGAACCCTAATCACGAAAACCCTAAAGCCAAAAATCCTTGTACTCCGCAACGAAGCTTCGTGGAACCCCTCAAGGTAGCCCGCACCTGCCTCTCATAATTCACCTGTAACCCCATCTACCTACAGTCTACAGCAAGTACCTTCTAACCAATAAGCTTGCAGGTTCTTAGTAGGGAATAATGGAATATAATCCCTGTAAAAAATGTATTCCCTGATTCCATGGCAAAGGCCTGCAAAATCCATAAAACTGTTAGCAACTAAGACCATACCCCTCGTACTCATTGGCTTGTTCCCCACAGGGTCCAGTCAGCCGTAGGGTATCCATGGAGATTGACACGTCCATCTTCCGATCCCGCATCCAGGAAATATGTACACCCAGCTCCTGAAGGGCGGAAATGTTCTTGGTATGGACATTGCTGCCAGCATCCTGTGCTGTAGGGACCCTATGACTCCTCCCCAATCCTACCACCAGTCTCAGAGTGCGTCCTGCTTTGAGAAACCTCCTTATGTG